GCCCGCGAAGCCCACCCCCGGGATCCTTACCGGAAGCTTTGGTCACCATTCTGTCACACCGAGTGCACTGAATCTCAGCAGCTACCCAGGGCCGACCCTTCCTTCCCCTCTGCTGACAGGAAGGCAGGGTGAGCCGAGCTGTCGAAGATTCTGCCGCCATTGCTGCCTTCTAGACCCGAGGAAAGTACCGCGTGCCAGTCCCAGCGTCCCTCGCGCCAGCGATCAATCATCGAAGGTAATCTCTGAAGGTAGCCAATCAGCAGGCTGAGATATTAAAGCCCCCCCCCCCAGTTGACCCTCGCCTGCGGCCATGCACGTGCGCGGAAGGCTGACTGTTTTTAGTTTGACCCCAGAGGCTTCATATCAAGTAAGGACGCCAGGTTTTCAAGCACCATTTACTTTCAAACCTCAGAAGCGCCACCCCCTGAGCATTCAGTGCATTCAAGTCCAGATTTCACGTATTATTACTTACACCGTGTGGACCTCACAGGCAGTAATCAATCCTTATATTGAAGGGATTCCCCCTTCACTAGTTATCAAGGCCAGAAAGTCTAAACCTGTGGAAAAAAAGTATTTTAATTCCGTATTTGAATCATCTGCTAAGGATTTGAGGGCTTGACTACTGGTAGCCCCAATGGAGAACTATCAGTGGCTACTGGTGGGGGAAATTCAATTAAGTACTTCAAACTAAGGGGTGGCCATCATTACTAACAGTTGTTGAGCTGGGAGTGGTTGGGGAAGCAAAGAATTTATAAGGAACAGGTTTATAACCTCTACCTAAAACAGTAACTTCTGCTAAGGTAGCTTGTAGTAATTTTGTTATATAGCTAGTGTTACATAGCTAGTGTTAGAGGGTAGAGACAATAAAAATCACTGCACTCTGGAAAGATGATGTCAATATGCTATAAAAAGCCTTCTTAGAGGACAGAGGGTTTGCATTAGACCTTAAAACTTAGGTGGGACTTACAGGAGTAAACAGAGGGAAGGAGGCATTCCAGTGAAAAGGAACAGTATAAGCAAGAGAAAGTAGGAACGAGATGCAGTGGCCTCTTAAAATTTAGAGATCATTTGGCCAGAGTATTAATTTCCTTAAAGTGAGATTTTTGGAGAGGTATGTTGGGATGGAATTTTGGACAGTCTTGAATATTGGGCTAAAGAGTTTGGACTTTGCCCTTAAAGCTGCAGAGTGCTTGCTAAGTGTGTGACCAAAGGATGGAGTCATCTGGTGGCAATGTGGCAGGTGGATCACGGAGGAAGCACCTGGAGATGATGGCAGGGAACTTTCAGTCATTAATAAAAGCCTGCAGATATTCCTTATTTTTCCTACAACATTTTTTTGAAATATAAACAGAAGTTCAGAAGCTCACTCTTGATAAAAAATCTTTATACTTTGTTGCCCTCAGGTAAAAGTATCGCTTCCTTAGCCCATCCCCATGCCACCCACCCAATCGTTTCTGCTACTAATCCATAATGAAACTCAGAGTACTAATTGAGCCAATGTTCCCCTGTAACATGCTGAAATCGTCTACAGTGTTGTGAGTAGTTTTCCCTGTTCTCCTATCTAGAATGCCCACTCCTTCCTTTTTATCGACTTGTATTCTCCTCATCCTTCATGGCGCAGCCTTTGAACCACCAACTGCTCCTGGAAACCCTCACGTTTCTCCCTGCAGTCACTACTGTTCTAGCAAGTAGCCATAATCCCCTTTTACACTAGGATATCTGTACTGCAATTAGAATAATGACAGTCTAATTGCATAGGGGTTCTTCTTGGGTCATGATATGCATCTAATGTGGTCTAGTACAGAGGAGTCATCTCTGAATATCATCAATTGTGCTGGAGAGAAGTATGCCCTTGGTAATTCCAGAAGTTAAATAAATCTTGGATAAATCAGGGCCAGTAAGAAATACAATGATAAATATTTAGACCCCATATGTCAGGTCTTAATACTTACTGGGTCCTCTCAAAAAAGAGAAGCCATAATTATCATCTTAACATGTAATTTAGATTATTTAAATCTTTTGTCTGGAGTCCTTTAGTGGTTTCCCACTGACTGTGACAGATCCTTAAAATGGCTTCCAAGGCCTCTGAAGCTTCATTTTGCACCATGTCTCTCTATGTTCCAGGTACATTGGCATTTTTCAGTTCTGTAAGTAGGTCAACCTCAAGATCTTTGCCTGGAACACTCTTCCCTGCACTATTAAAAAATTATCATGCCCTGGATAAGTGGCTCAGTTGCTTGGAGTGTCGTCCTATACACCAAAAAATTTCGGATTTAATTCCCAGTCAGGGCACATACTTAGGTTTCGGGTTTGATCCCCAGTCGGGTGCATATAGGAAACAACCATCTCTCTCTCTCTCTCTCTCTCTCTCTCTCTCTCTCTCTCTTCTCCTTCCTCTCTCTCTCAAATCAATAAACATATCCTTGGCGAGGATAAAAAATTATCATAAAATTTGTTAGCTGCACAAAAAGGAATAAAAAATAATATGAACTCATGTACCTTCCAACAAGTTTAAGAAATGATTTAATTTTATCCATATAATCTGTTTTTATTAGGTCTGTTTGGCCATTTACTCACATGTTGGCCAATCCTTTAATTATTCCTCCTTGTACCCAGCTAACCTGGTTTTATTGGGTCTGTTTGGCCATTTACTCACATGTTGGCCAATGCTTTAATTATTCCTCCTTGTACCCAGCTAACCTGGTTTGGCCATTTACTCACATGTTGGCCAATCCTTTATTCCTTCTTGTGTCTCATATGTCCTTCTAGGATAATTTTTTTTTCTTTAAGGACATTTGAAGAAATGTCTTTAGTGAAGATATGTTAGTGACTAATGCTCTTGGTTTTTATTTAGATAACTGGAGTCCCGTGCACAAAATTCGAGCACTGGTAGGGTCCCTGTGCTTGGCTGGCAATCAGGGCCAATTTGGGCCTTCCAGCTGCTGGCTGGGGCCTTCCTTCCCTGGCTGCCGGCTGCTGGTTGGGGCCATCCTTCATTCTGTGCCGCCTCCTGATGGTCAGCACACATCATAGTGAGTGATTGAACTCCCGGTCTCCTGGTCAAACTCCCAAGGGGACACTTTGAATATTAGCCTTATCTACACTAAAAAAAAGAGAAACATGCAAATTGGTGTCACTCCGCTACGCCCACCAGCCAATCAGAGCAACTATGCAAATTAACCCAACAAAGATGCAGTTAATTTGCATGCACAGGCATGGAGCGAAGACTTAAGGCTCCGGCCAGAGTGAAGCCTGAAGACTGAAGCCTGAAGAGTGAAGAGGCTTGGCTTCTCTGCTGTGGCCGCAGCGGAGAAGCCAAGCCTCTCTGCGGCCGGACAAAAGGCCTGGGTCCTGGGTGCCAGAGGAAAACCAGTGCCAGCAGCCAGGGGAAGGAAGGCCTATTGCGAATCTTCGTGCAACGGATATATATATATATCTCCCACGTAATCAGTTCTCTCTTCAGCTGAATTTCAACTGTTTTGGATAGTGTGTTCCTTTCTCATGTTTTTAATCCTCACCCAGGATATGTTTTTATTGAGTTTTAGAGAAAGGAAGGGAGAGACAGAGAGAGAAACATCGATGTGAGAGAGACACATCCATTGGTTGCCTCCTGTGCCTTGATCAGGGCCCAGGATAAAACCTGCAACCCTTGACTGGGAATCAACCCCGTGACCCTTTGGTGTGTGGGCTGATGCTATAACCACTGTGCAACACCTGCCAGTGCTGCAACTTATTTTTTCTAAACTTCATTCATGATGATTTGTTTCCTTGTGTTTTTTAAAAAATATATTTCATTAATTTTTCAGAGAGGAAGGGAGAGGGAGAGTTAGAAACATCAATGAGAGAGAAACATCAATCAGCTGCCTACTGAACACCCCCTACTGGGGATGTGCCTGCAACCAAGGTACATGCCATTGACCGGAATCAATCCTGGGACCCTTCAGTCTGTAAGCTGACGCTCTATCCACTGAGCAAAACTGGTTAAGGCTCCTTGTGTTTTTATAACTTTGTACTAGAGGCCCAGTGCAACTAAATTCATACACGGGGGAAGGAGGTTGTCCCTCAGCCCAGCCTGTACCCTCTTCAATTCGGGATCCCTCAGGGGATATCCAACTGCTGACAGAGGATGTCCGACTGTCGGCAGTTGGAATCACTCTCGCAATCTGGGACTGCTGGCTCCTAACCGCTTGCCTGCCTACTGGCCTGATCCCTAACTGCTCTCCCCTGTCAGCCTGATAGCCCCTAACTGCTCTCCCCTGCTGGCCTGATCCCCCTAACTGCCTCTGCCTTGCCCTGCCAACATGGCTTTGTCTGGAAGGACATCTGGTCTAATTAGCATATTACCCTTTTATAAGTATACACTAGAGGCCCGGAGGGTACTCGGGAGGGACCTTCAGCCCAGCCTGTGCCCTCTTTGCAGTCTGGGACCCCTTGGGGAATGACTACCTGCTGGCTTAGGCCTGTTCCCTGGGAGATTGGGCCTAAGCTGGCAGTCAGACATCCCTCTGGCAGCCCGGGAGCCCTCGGGGGATGTCCACTTGCCAGCGGGGAGCAGGCCTAACTGCAGTCGGACATCCTTAGTGCTGCTGAGGAGGCGGGAGAGGCTCCCGCCACCACCGCTGTATTGGCAGCCATTAGCCTGGCATGTGGCTGAGCAGAGCTCCCCCTGTGGGAGCACCCAGACCACCAGGGGGCAGCTCCTGCATTGAGCGTAATATGCAAATTGCATGTTACGCAATATGC